CTCAAATAATCCAATCATGCTAACTTGATTTTTTATATAGGAAGATAAAGAATTTAAATCTCTATAATTGACATCCATACAAAAAATATAGTTTTTCATTGCTTAATGTGGAAATATGGGTATTAATTGTACATAAACATATTTTCAGTTATATTCCTATGATGAAGAGCTAATGTAGGTAGATATAGATATACCATACAGAAAACTATATTTAAAAATAACTTTTTCATGAAACTTTTATATCAGAAATCTTAGAGATAATCTAAATTAATGTTTTTTTTTTTAATAAAATTTCAAAATCAAACCAAGATTAATGTTCAGCCAATTTAAGATCTTATGGGCATCCGTCCTTAAGTCACTGAAGCTATATGATAACAGAGCAAAACTTAACTTTATTTAAATTAGAACAGTAACAGATTAGGAGAAGAAAGACAATGGATGATTAACGTAAATGTTCACTTCTTGGTTGTGCTATTGAATTTTGTTTTAAAATTCTTGCTTCTGATTGTTTAGCTCGTTTACATGATATCACTATAAATTTTTTGATTTTCGATTTCAAATCGATTATAACCATCATCTTCATTATTTGATATTTTATCAATTAATTCTGCTGGATGTTTAATATTCTGAATTTTAATGCCATTAACCGTTTCCAATACAGAATTTGCAAAATCTGACGATATTCCATGATTAACATCATCAAGAAGTATTTGATTAATAATAACTATTTGTTGATTTAATTCTTGTAAATGACTATGTAATGCTAAATTAATTAAGTTTGTTGGAGCTTTTCGATGCCATTCACGTTTATTAAATCCATATAAATAAAATCGACTTAATACTGTAAATACAATACCAGCATAAATTAAATATTCTGGATGTTTATCGTGTGAATGTAATGGAACAAGTGTTTGATTATTATCCAATGGACTTGTTAATGTTAATTCTTGACCTAGAAAAGAAAAAAAGAAAATATTTCAATCTTGATAGAAAATAGAAAATCTTTTTGAATGTTAATATTGAGTCTCATTTTCATCCGCACATTTGTATTATGAATGAAAGAAATGGAAAGAATTCTTAAACATGACACTTGCATAAAAAAACAATATATTGTTCGATGATTTAGTTTTTTGTTTATTTATTTATTTCCATGGTCAGCAAATTTCACACTTCTTTTTTCTTTATATCAGTTTTCAATTTTCCCTTTCAAATTGTTCATGTTTTCTACGTGTTTTCCATCATAATAATAGATATTTCAGTTGAACAAGAATACCAGAATGAGATGGTAATCAATAACAGGAATTATTTCTTTTACGCATAGAAGTAACGGTAGGCATTGTTTTTTCGCTGTTTTGAATATCTACGTGATCTATCATCACCAAGAATACTTGTAAGAGACGACCAGTTCCATTTTCACTTCTAAGTAAGCGACATCTCTAGAGCGATGCTAAGAGGGATCTTGAAGATTTCGTCGATATTGCGCTTTAGGCCCTGAACAGACCGACTAATTCCAAGTGAATTAAAACGGAATTAACGAATAAATCGTCTCAAAAAGACGATTTAAATCGAAATAGACCAATCACGTTGCTTGATTTGTTTTATTTTTTTCAGTCTGTTCGGGACCTTACTGGTACTGAGAGACGTTTTTGACAGAGAGGGCCTTAAGCATTACTTAGCATATTCACTTTCAATATGCATGCAAAATATTATTAAAAAAAATATGCTGTATGTTCTATATCATGGTTGAAATAAAATACTGATATCTGATTTCGATTTCTTTGCATTTTTCCATATGGTTATCTCAAATTGATCCATGAACAAAGGCGAAAAACTTTTTTCTTTTGCAAGGTATGGAGTGTGAGCTTTTCATGTCACCCACATCCCACAACAAAGCGTCATAGCATAAGATCTGAGTCATCTATTCTGTTTTGATATTCAAAGAGCAATTTTTTAGTGTTCTATACTTCTTATGCATATAAAAGTGTATTTTCTATCTTTATTACCTTGTCTTATAATTGTAAATGTAACTGTATCATCAACAAATTTTAATTTTTCTAAATATCAAAAACTAAGTCTTTCGTCACGACGAAAATAGATTGTACCATCATCAACAATTGGCACATTATCAATAGCTGTGATAACATCATTTTCTTTTAATACTTTACTAAGAATACATGCTTGTTCAACCGATGTTACTAAAATACCATGTTGATCATCATTCAATTTTAAATATTCCCAATATGATGTATTTTCCATTGGTTGTTAGTTAAATCTCATTATTGAAAATACTGTATATTTATTATGCAATTCAATATCATCTAATACATGTTTGTTTACTGATACTGGTACAATGTAGCCAATTGATTGAGCTTGAGTTTGACCTCGAAATGACATACCAACAACATGTTTACCTAAACAAGATATACAAGGATGTGGGTGTTGGTGTGATTGTGAGTGTGCATCTATTTTCTTCACTCACATCCATACCGACACAACCACAAACATTCCACACCCACACACTAATGCACTAAAACTAGTTATTATTTATTCTATTCATTGTTTACTATATGTATATATATCCAGCAACAATGATTTTCTTATATGACCTTAATACAGATGATAACGATTATAGTAAAGAAGTGAGAAATTTCTCTTTTTATTTTTTATTTTTATTTTTCACTGCAACTAGTTTCTTTATTTTTAGATTGGAGATTTGAAACAGAGATAAAAGAACTGTCAACATCAACTTCAAATTATTATTCATCAAGCTATACAAAATAAGAAGAAATATGCTAAAGCTCATTAATTGGAAGTAAATTATCGAATGAAACAAATAGATGCAATCGAGGGAGAAATCGAGTATTTCGAGCATATGAAGTAACAAGTTCATCTTTTACGTAAGTCTCTTTTTAATAAAATAATAAATGTGGAAACCTCGGATTTAAATCCAAGTGTTATGTGTACTTCAAAAAATAAAAATACAGAAGCAATTTCCGTTGGATTATCTTTGCAATAGGTGGCGTAGCCTTCTTGTTTCTTAATGTTTTATATACCATTTTGTAGCTCGTGAAATTCTCTATCGTATGGTATATAATAGCTGAGGTTTTGTTTGCTTATAAGAGAAAAAAGTTTTTTACGAAAGTAAGGATAGGTCGATTTTCCTATAGGAAGCCATATGAAAAAATGAGTATTTTTGCAATAACTCAGCAATTTCTTGACGAATCATTCTTATCTTCGAACTCGACTGAGATATTGATGAGACGATTCTGTATGCAACATTTCATCACAATCGGACTACCTTTTGAAGAGTTATCGTGTAAACGGTCGGACGGACACTGACCGATTGTATAGTATAGTCACTTTTTGAGTACACAAAGAAAGGATATTTGGTTTTTTAGGCCTTGGCCAACAACAACGTAAATAAAATCTTAAAGAGCTTTATTATTTGATAAAAACAAGATGCTTTATGGATATCATTTAATGAACCTGTTTTTGATATAACATTTATATTTAAACATATTTAAAGTAAAAAGAACTCTACTATATCTCATTTTACCTTAGCGTATTGAGGAAATAAAGACAGAAAAAAATTGATCTTTTCATTCAAATTTTAATATTCGTTTTTAACTTTAATTAAGTTATGTTTGATGGAAAGATACTTTAAAAAGTGTTATCAATAGAGAACTGGGGCGGAAAGTCCTTTGTTGTTATTCATAAATTGAATATTATATTATACTATTCTACAATGGATTAAATCTCTAATAATATCCTTGTTGATATTCATTAAGACATTCATCTATAGATCTTTTTGTGTACTCAAAGAGTGAGCACACTATAGAATCGATCAGTGTGGGTGTGGGTTTGAGTTTGGTGTGTAGGTATATGTTTGGAAAGAGAAGATTTCAACCCACATCCACACACCCACACCCTGGGTCTTATTTTATGCCAGATCTACTATTATGGGGCGGATTTACTTATAATCATGGAAAGAATACAGTAGCTTAACTATTTTATTATGCTTGACTCATTACAAAAATGGAAAACAAAAAACTTCAAAACAGAAACGAACGTTGACTTTAGTAGAGTAAGCCTGCATTTTATCATATATTAATCTGGGATAAGTTTGGAAGATAGGTTTTTATGCGAGCGTACAGTTTGCGTTCATGTATCGTCCACTAATGGCCTTGAAGGTGTTGGCTTATGTGGTGGGTACAATGACAGATGTCAGGCGCGACTGCGTTGTAGTTTTGACAAGCGCAATGTTGGTAGGACCAATTACCATCAGCACCGGATTCAGCTTCGCAGACTGCTTCGACCATTCTTTATGCTTCCGTTTTTTTCTTCATTTCACAAATCAGATCAACTCTCTTCTCAAACTCATGTCAGCTCCTTAAATAGAAGAGAAAGGGAACGAAGAAAAAAATCCCAATCGTAAATTGGAACAAATGAAGTTGAGAAGAGCACAGTGAACACGGTGTGAAAATGACTGTGGACGAAAACATGATCAACATGGGAAGCCACAACTATACTCACTCATTACTTATCCTCGCTTTGCAGCACTATCGATTTCGAGTCAGTTTTTTAAAGCTGGAAGAAAAGACCATTCATCAGTCAACAAATCACGACAGGCGTCTTTCGTGCACAAGGTTTTTCCTTGCAGATAAATTCAATTTTCGCCGAAAAAAGTCAAAACAACTACATACTATGATAAAAGTGTTTTTCATCTGACAGAATGTTTTATGCAATGCAAAGAATACATTTGAAAAACGAGCATACGAACGTCAAAAGCAAAGTGTATTGTCTCCTGACTTCAATTGAGTTTGTTGTAGCGGTATGAGTTTGGTTGTGCGCGTGGTTGTCAACATCGGCCATGGGTGTGGGGTGTTGGTGTGGGCGCGGACGTGGATAGATGCGTGTGGGAGGTTTCATGATCTCAACTGCATTCAGAGTCCGACCAACACCCACACTCACACACACCCATACCCACACCCACACCCACACCCACACCCACACCCGCACTCACCCACACCCACACCCACCCACACCCAACCACACCCACACCCACACGCACACCCACACCCACACCCACACCCCACACTCACACCCTTCTCTTAATATGGTACTCAGCAAAATCAAGTAATGATAGTCAACTATACCAAGTCAATTTTCACTGATAGTTTATTCTGACTTGGTCGAGTGTTGTGTAAGTTAGACGAGTGTGTTGTTTATCAAATAATTCTTTTCTTATCTTTGCATCATGGCAACATTTCAGTCTTTTTTTTTCTTTTTGAATACTTTTCATTTACACATTGCATTTGGAAGGACTGCAGATAGCAACAGTAAAGCACTCAAGGTAAAAAACACATAAGACGATAGATTGTAAACTAGAGAAGAAAAAACAGATTTACACAATGAAATTTAATTCAGAGGACATATATACACCTATATTTATTTCTATACAATGTGCAGTAGTTGACACCGTTCTCAAAGATGAATAATGACTGATAAAGATAAACTTTATTAGGTAACTATCAGAAGATCTGCTTATAGACAGCTAGCAAACTACGATTATTTTAAAAATGCCTTCGGATTTTATTTCATTCTTGCATAGATGAAAGTTATATGATTATAAACATCAGACAACCTGCCTGTAAGTTGGTCAAAAAAAAATGATAATGTTCAATATGATTACTACTTTTCGAATTAAATTCATATTTTAGAAAATCTGACATCCTAATTCAAAATAAAAAAAAGGCATTTAACGAAATGATGGTTGAAATTAGTGCCAAAAGTTGCGTTAAAAGGCAAATTAACGAACCTTGGGTTTAGATGGACGTGACGTATGAGTGTGAGTGTAGTTCTTCTCTTAACCACACCCTGATATATTCATGGGAAAAGTTATTCTAATTGATCAATTCAAGATCAAAATGATACATTACAATTTTAGATCAGAACATGGGTATCTTTGCATCTCAAGATCGTTTGCGGAGACCATTTTCTGCATTTGAACGAAAAAGGAACTTCCAACGATGTTCTACTGATAATTCTAATTCTCTTTATCCTGAACATCGTATGAATGCACAAAATAATTCGAATATGGTTAAAACTCAGTCAACATTTCGATCAGCAGCATTATGGTGTTGCGATCTATGCTTATCCGAAAATCAACATTCTCTTCAGCACTGTATTTTTTGTGGTAAAGAGCGAGTCAAACCGGTAAAGATTTCTTCGATTGGCAAAATTCTCTTAGATAAAATCATCCATTTTCTTCTCTAGAATAAACGAGACCATTATTCACCTCATGCAAGAATAATGTCCGCTATGGAAACAGAATCGATTGCTGTTCGTGATCATCATGAAATGGATGAATTCAACATAGAAAAAATATCTCGAGATGTGATCGCTTACTGTCAGAGAGTATGTAAGAAGGCTCATTAAAATGTACTAACTACTATTTAAATTATTAAAGCATAATATGGCTTTTGTGGATGACCAATTTCCACCTTCTGATCGTTCCTTGGGTATATCGCATAATGATCACACGATACAATGGTTGCCACTCTCTAAGATAGCACCATCAACACATCTTGACGATTATCTACCGTGGACAATCTATGATTTGCCAGATCCCAGCGATATCCATCAAGGTAAACTCGGTGATTGTTGGTTGATGGCTGCATTGGCATTAATCACTGAACGACCCCAGATGCTTCAACATATTCTTCTGACAAAAAAGGTCAATCGAGAGGGAGTCTATGTTGTACGTATTTGTCACAATGGTATATGGACAGCTGTACTTCTCGATTCATATTTTCCGTGTACATTTGATAGCGAACTAGCTTATAGTCGAGCTGCACATCGTCAATTGTATGTTTCATTGATTGAAAAAGCATGTGCGAAACTATTCGGCTCGTATGCAAGTTTATCAGAAGGCTCTATGGCTGAAGGTCTTCAGCTGTTAACTGGAGCACCCTGTGATCATATCAATCTCCATCCAATAGATGAAACGTTAGATTTTGATATTGTTTGGGCTAAACTTCTGTCCGCTTGTGAATCCAAGTAAGTGTAAAATATTATTTTTCGTTACTTCATTTATCAGTTCTCACTGAGAAGAGGAGTGCACAGGAAGTCCTAGATCAGTATGAAGGATGTTATGATTGGCTACGATGAAATGTCCGTATTTTTTGCTAAATCAGCTACGAAATGTATAATGTCCGTTTCATCCTGTTGCGTTAGACGCAATATTAGACCATCAGTCTGTTTTGGAACTACACAGAGAAAGAAAAAGAACATGTATTCTTGATAATTCCTTCACACATAGGTTTCAGTCTATTGACATAGCAGCTTTGATCTCTAGACTCTTAATTGGTATATCAACCAGTTGTTCAGAAATTGATCAACAGGCGTATAAAGACGCTGGACTAAATCCTAATCATGCATTTACTGTCTTGGCAGCTAAGACATTGCCAGTCGATGATGGTCGTTTTCTACTTGTACGTGATCCACATGGAACTTCGAATTATTCAGAAGAATCGATCACACCATTGATGCGAACATATTTACGTGCAATGTATGATCAAATGCCAAATTCTTCTGGAATTTTCTGGATATCATGGTTCAGTTTCTTGCGTTTCTTTCAGTCAATAACTATCTCGACCTATGTCAGTACTCATTTTGATATTCGTGAAGAAATTCAATTTACTCGATCGCCAATAGACAAAGTTCCTGCATATTATTTTGTTGTAGCAAAGTAAGTAAACCATTCTGTACTTTATTTGAACTTATCAATTCCAATCATTCTATAGAACGTCGTTGATCACAGTAAGTCTCATTTATCATCGTCGTGTCCGAAAAGAAAAAAGTCGACATACACAATCTTTTGTAATTTGTAATATCGAAGAAGACAGGAGTGATGTTGGTACCAAGGAGGTGATTTTTCTGAGTCGTCGTGGCACATTTACCTATTGGACTGGAACGTTACCACCAGGTGCCTATGTTATTATTCCATTCTCAGTTAGTCTTTGGAAAACGAATAATATTAGAAACAATGAAAGAACTAGATCTTGTACTTTAGCCATACATTCAAGTATTCGACTCGATGGTGCATTACTAGAAGAACCATCGACATTACTAGCAGATTGTATCATAGCTGCAGTCATCAAATATTGTGATAAACCAAAATATGTTTGTTCTATAATCTTTTTTTTATTTTATTTATGTATATTTCTTCTTTATCTCTTAGAATGATTCTTCAATTATATATATCACACCACATCACTTTCATACCAATTTGGTCGTTGTCCAAAGTCTACTAACAAATTACTATCTCACTTTCAATATGATAATCACTAATGCTAATGGTATTTGCCATTCTCGTGACGCTTTTCAGACTGTAGATTGTATTCCACCTCTTCATCGACAATTGATTTGCATACTTGAATGGAATAATCAGCAAGATGATTTTGCACATGTGTCTTATATGACGTCTGAACAAGTTAGTATAGGATGGCATCCTGCAATGCCTGCTATTGAGATTGATCGAGATGATATACACTCGCCACGACCTGTTTGAATTCTTCTTCTTCCAAGATTAAAGTATCTTTATATCATCATATAGTACACAAAAAAACTGTGACATGGAATTATTAACTAAGAATTTCTAGCAGTGTTTTTTTCGTTATGAATAAATAACATTACTACTGTTTGAAACTAAAGGACTGGGTGTGGGTGTGGGTGTGGGCAAGAATGAAGGAGAGATTAACACTGACACCCACCCCCACAGTCACACCCACACCCACACCCACCCACACCCACACCCACACACACACCCCACACCCCACACCCACACCCACACCCACACCCCACACCCACCCCACACCCACACCCACCCCCCACACCCACACCCACACCCACACCCACACCGACACCCGACTTACATACATTCTCTGTCACACATCATCGTAACAAGTGAGGGTGTCACGAAAGGACTTCCAGACGTCTTGACTTACAGTCGCTCTCACTTATACTTGAAACTTGAAATTGAAACTTTTAATATTTAGTTGAGACATAGACTCATGTCGTTATTTGGTTTGAGAGTCGTTCTATATTGAATTCCATCTGTGTTAGATGTTCATGTCCCACAGATAAACAATTCTTATACGCATCTAATGCTTGTTTATAATAGTTTAATGCCAATTTTTGATTGTTAAGATGCTCATAAATTTCACCAAGACGAGATAAACTATCACCAATCTTCTTTTGATCTAATGATTGAAATTTCATACGCATCAAACAATTATTCATTTCAAATATCGAAGACAGTTCGTGATGATTTCCATCTAATTGAGCTTGACTGAGCAATATTAGAGTATCAGTAATAAGATGATCATTGATAGTCAAACTTGTTTCTCTAATGCATAGACATCTTTCGAAATATTCAATAGCACGATCAAAATCACTTTTTTCATGCCAAATCAGTCCAATATGTTCTAGACAATCAGCTATTTCAATATGATTCATAGAACAATTTTCTTCTAATGTCAATAGTGCTTGTTGATAAGAGTTAAGAGCATCATTATAATTTCGTTTTTTATAGAGTACTTCACCTATATCGGAAAAATTTTTTGCTATCTTCAAGTAATCAAGTGGAGTTATTTCCTGCCGAATTTCTAGCATTCGACGTAAGATTGTCAAAGATTTTTTATGATAATGTCTTGTTTGCGCTATGAAAACTATATGTTCCAATGTAGATAACAGTGTCATGTAATCATGAGGATAATTTTTTTCGTAGTGTCTCAACGCATTTTCATAAAAGAGAAGGGCATCGTCATATCTCTCTCGTGAGTACATTTCGCTACCCATATCATTGAGTATTCGAGCAATATCTGCATCATTATATGAAGTAAGTTGTGTGTTGTTTGTGAAGTCTTGTTGTTTAATTAAAATATCTGCTATACGTTTTATGTGTCTGGTCATGCGCCAGTTACCATCAGAATATAGTTTTTCATAAATATTTAATATCTTCCGTTCTATATCAAGGACATCATCAAACTTGTTTTGTTGTTCAACAATAGAACTTATATCTGCTAGACAATTAGCGATTGTAGATTGATCTGATGGATTATGTCGTTCTACAATGGAGAGTGCTCGTTCATAGCTTTCAAGTGCTTTATCATATTCTTCTAGATTTATTTGTAGAGAACCAATGTTCCTAAGGTCATCGCTAATTTGTTCATGATTTAATATTAAATGTTCTTCTCGTATTGCTAATATTCGTTGTCTATAGAGAAGTTCTTCATTATACTTTTCTTCTTGATTAAATGTATCTGCAATATTTTTCAAAACAATAATAATCTTACTATGATCAACTGGATCGAGCTTTTCTTCAATATCTAAAGCTCGCTGAAAGTACTCTCGAGCTTCATTGTATTTCTTCTGATTGTAGAGAAAAAGCCCAATATCTTTAAGACGATCTGTAATATCTAAACGATTTGATGCGTCATGAGTTTCTCGAATTTCCAGAGCTCGATTGAGACATTTGAATGCTTCATCATAGTTTCGTTGTTGTTTATACGTCTTGGCAATACTGCTCAGCAGTGTTAAACTGTTAGTATAGTCAGATAAATCGAATTTTTCTTCAATATCTAAAGCTCGTTGAAAGTACTCTCGAGCTTCATCGTATTTCTTCTGATAGTACAAAATAAGACCGATATCGTTGAGACTGTATGCAATGTCTGAATGATTTGATGAGCAATGAGTTTCTTGTATTTTAAGTGCTCGAGTTAGAAAATCGAAAGCATCGTTGTATTGATGTTGCTCTTTTAATGTAAGACCAATGTTTTTGAGCATGGAAGCAATTTGGTTATAATCGGATGGATCATATTTTTCTCCAGTCTCAAGCGATCGTTG